TTTTTCCAACTCAGTGATTCTGTTTTTTTAATTTTCTTGTTTTTTTCTGACATGTTGGTGTTATATCTTTCACTGGCATGTTATCGGTTGCACTGAGTAAATACAAATGGATAAAACAAAAACTGTGTCTGTCTTCATTTCAGGTTGCAAAGCAACAAAATGTGATCTTTTTAAAGGGGGGTGATACTCCATACCCACTGTACAGTATACTAAATATCATGGAAGGCTTATTTGTGATCTCTGGGGCCACAGAAGAGATATATAAGGTGACCACTATTACCCTAAACCTCCTGATTACTGCCAGTGTAAGTGGCAGCATGAGTTCAGTGTTAGCTAGATACTGATATGGTTTACTACATGGTACTAACAAAAAAAAAACAGCTATGCTTCCTATACTCCTCCAGAGCTTCTTTTATAAATTACAAAACTAACCCTAACAAAAGAAGCTCAGGATGCACATTTGATATGCTGGTGATGTTTACAATCTCAAAATTTTGCAATACCGCCATCTGTTGCAGATCACTAGAGCACTCAAGTATTATGGGTCTTGTGATGCACACCCTTTGGAGTGCACCACACTCCCCTATTCACATACTTCCTATATTGACTATTCTCTCTCTACCAACTTTTTTTATATTTTGTCAGTGCAATCCCTTCCGATTATTGCTTTAATATTACAGGTTCTGCATAAAACAGCTAAAGCCTACACTAAATTTTTCCAGTCTTCATGACATCTACAGAAGCTAGTCATAAAAATTACAGTTCTTTTAACTGCTGCACTGCGAGCGGGAAACAATTTTTCATAAAGAATAACAATAAAAACACAAAACAGCTTTATTCTGTGAAACAATACAGGTGTCTGTCTTAATGAAAATAAGTATTAAATGAAATAAACAAGTGATACCTCTGTCAGCATGCATATACATTGTGATGGGGAGTAATATACTTATACGATATGAACCTGAGATATTACAAGTCTTCTGCCTGACACTAATATCTTTATTATGTTCTTTTAGACGAGCATTACTCTGTGACTGGAGATATGAGTTTCTGTAGAAAAGTATTTTGACAGAAAGCACTGCAATGTGGAGAAAAGTCAGACAGTGTATGATCAAATGCAACAATTGCAACACATTAAAACTATAACAATAAAATATAAGAAAATCCATAACAACATTTATTTTCTTGTCAAGTGTAATTACATTTTATTTAAAATAAAAATGGAGTAATTGAAGTAACAAGGGAAAAATAATCTATGAATGAATCTGCCAGAGAAATTAAACCATTTCTACTTTATTTAATAAGGCTGTACAAAGACGAGTAATGATGCACAAAGTGTGAAACCTCAAAGCATCCAATCAGATTTAATTGTTTTGCCAGAACAATAGTGGAATTGCTGATTGGTCTACCATATTCCCTTTTATACATTTTTGGTAATATGTAGGGCTACGCAGTTTTGAGGCTTGCCCATTAGCCAAGTATTAGTAGGTTAGTCTTTGCATCTTTTGTCATACTCCATTCTTTCATAATGCCAGATAACACTGAGACAAATTAGCAATTAAGAAACATGGAGCATCTCTACCCTCTTGTCTCCCGCTTCTTTAACCTCGGCGCCTGGTAATGCTTCTGCCAGAGACTTCGATTAGCAATAGGTAAAGAAAATGGCACTCGCAAGGAGATCCGTCCATCCAATACTTTATTTGCAAAAAGGCATAAAAGCAGCAAACAAACAGATGCTTTCATGTTTAAGCCCCCAACACTGGGCCTTAGTTGTAGCCAAATTAGCATTTTAACATGAAATGAATTTATCTTGAGTAAAGGACAATGATCAATAACATTTCCTATGGTTATACCTCAAAGTGGTTTAATGCTGTGTTATGCTGATACTATTCCCCAAATGAGCTGATGAACATTGCATGGGTTTGAATAGTAACTATTCTTTCCATGATATAGACAGACCTCTTTCTGAAAACACTACAAACTAAATTTTTGGATTAGTCTTCCACATGCTTATGCAAAAAGATGCTCAGTAAGAATTCTACACAGGTGTCAAAAACGTCGCACCTAGAGGACATCCCTAATGCCAGCCCGGATGATGTTTTTTGTTTATATAAATTGTCCACAATAAAGAATTACTTAGACAAATGTTTCCTTTCCTCCACAGCTAGAGGACCAAGGCTTGCATCATCTGACTTGCTTTAAAGAAGAACACTGGGCATAAATATTCTTAACCCTGCAGTGGGGCTGCCCCCTCACTGCAAGGGTTAGTGCTTCACAGCTGCCTGGCTCCTAGACCAGTCCCTGTAAACTTGTTTCCACTCCGCTGTAATGGCCTAAGGTCCTGGTACTCATTATTTCCTATGGAGTGTATAGGACGTGAGGACACCAAAGGCCATTCCATCTGAGGAGCTGACAGGAAACAGGGTGTAGTGACCAGTTTAACAGACAGCTGGCTGTGTGGTTCAGGTGAGTATATCTTTTTTATTTTCATCCATAGAGGAAAACAAGCACTTAACCCTTGCAGAGCAAGGGTAGCCCCACTGCAAGGATTAAGAATATTTATGCCCAGAGTTGTTCTTTAAAACTGTCCCATCTATTCCAAACAACGGCTCCCTTGTGGCTTGCCAGGTGTTTAAGAAATTTTAGAAATTACAAACCCCAGAAAGCTGTGGTGAATTAAATGTTGTTGTCCTGCCCACTGTAACAATCTACAACGATCTAAAAGAGCATGCACCCCAAAGCTTCCACTTTGTTCAATCTCAGATTTCTTTCATTTTGCTTTGGAAACCTTGGATCTTGCTTACCTAGGGGTCTATGCTCCTCTGCCCACCACCCCCTGCCCACTGACAAGTCACAATCTGCATACTGTGCTTATAGTGCATAGGCTATAATGCTTCATCTTAAGCTTTTCATTTTATATAGAGTAGAGAATATATTATAAGAAAAACATTCCAATATGTACAGTATATGCCATGATGTAAAAACATAAATGGCTAAAACAACGGAAAATGATGTACTGTATATACATTTAAATAGAACTGTTTTTTTGGGTGGAATATAATGCTATAAAAGAATACATAAAAAAAAGCTGAAGAACATTGTTGTAAAGCATGATTTGCTCTATCGCCCTTTTGGTGTGGAACACAAAATCCCAGATTGATGGTCATTGCATTGACAAAGTACAAATAGTTATCTGTGTACTAATAACTGCATGAACAGAGTCTGTACTGTAAAGACAAAATAAAGCTGCATATAAGTTGAAGAAGCACACGCATTTGATAACTTTTGTCCTTTAGAGGTTTTTTTTAACAGATGGAAGATGGGGGGGGGAGGGTCCAACAGTAGATGGAGAATTCCAGAGAATGGGGACACCACATGTTAAATGTTGGAAGCATGCACAAAATACATTTCCAAGTAAGGAGGGCATCAGTAACTTAGGTCAGTGGATAAGGGGAGAGTTTTTGAGTATAAGGTCAGAAATTTAGGCAAGTACTTTGGTGAGGATTAGTGGTAAAGTGTTATAAAGACAGAGCATAATAAACTGAATTTTATTCTTAGGTTCATAGGAAGTCAGTAAAGAATTACATAGAATGACAGCAGAAGAGATGTGATCTCTATTATAGTAATCACGTATTATAGTAATCAAGATGACTGTGTGAACAAGGAATGCTGTGGCTCTGCATGTGAGGGCTGATCCTAGGCAGTGAACTTTGAGGAACATGAGATGACCAAGCCAATTAAAAGCAAGATAGATGTTGGGTAGTGTTGGGAAGGATAGGGAGTGAAAATGATTAGTTCTGGATTTTAGGTATCTCTCAAACACTATATGTGATGATTTAGCTGACATGCATAGGTGGAAGTAAAGAAGCAAAAATGCACCAGGTCAGTGGTCACATTTGTGAGTGCAGCCCCTGTGTAGAATTGAGGCAAGACTGAAGAAGGTCAGCAAGTGAGATAGCAAGAGGAAGAGGGTCAGTCTGTTGATTACATGTTCAGTTACTTGGCATAGGCTATAGTTTAACCACAAAGCACAATACAAAATGGATACTTTTCAAGGTTTTATCTTCACTGGCAACTATTAGAGAAAGAACAGAGTTATGTGGGGCCACCAAACAAAATTTTGGTGCAGATTGTATGTAACATAAGATTGACCCTATAATCTATATGACCAGAACAATATAATGTATCTCAATTTTGACTCCTGGCTGCAAAAGGGCAGGGCCTGAAAATAATTTTTAAAAAGTAATTATAATTTGAGGATGTATATTTAAATTCTTGCGTTCCACTCTTGACTGGGTAAAAGCAGGTGCTTGAAGAAACCAGTTCCCTGATAGTGACAGCAGTGGGTCATGGCTATGCAATGCCAATTGTAGCTTCAGCAAGGGGCATGTGACAGGGCAAGAATGCAGGAGCAAACATGGGAGACATTTGTCACCCCATAACAGGAACTGCCTGAACAAAGCAGGATCACCAGGTATTCTTTTAAAAAAACTGTATAGAAAAGAATATTGAAAAGTTTTCATTATAATAACATAGTAAAGCTTATGTGAGATTGCAGTGATTGGCTTTAGGGTGTTCATGTCACATTTTTTGTGACAATAAAGATTTGCCACTTGGTTGGTTGGCAATCAGTCCCGGACCATGGTCCTCTTCAGTCCTTGTTTGCTAGGAACGCTGAAGTCCTAGCAACCAATGATGTCAGGTGTCCTCCTCCTCTGCAGTGCTCTAATGCACGTTAGGTGTGTTGTGCGGTATCATGCCTTACTCGCACAGAACCGTGCGATTAACATAGTGTAGGTGTGAATAGCCCCTCACACCTACAATGTCTATTGGTTTTGCCCTCCCCAACAGCCCCTTGAGAATATTAATTGCCCACTCATGCTGTAGATTAAGGCATTAAACTCACAATAGTTACAGTTCTTGACACTTTACAACACTACACACATTATAATAGTTCAAATGATCAAGTTAGTACAAGAAAAGTATCAGAAATAGTGTACCTGCATTGAAGTGATGTTCAGAGGCCTATCAATTATAATCCAAGTCACTGTCTCATAGCATGGAGGAATGGTCATGGAACCTTGATATGTCAGAAACCCAAATGAGTCTGGATACAATTCTTCAATGCTAAGATCTTGTATGAAATTGACTTCATCTGTAGAAATAAATGTATACAATGTTACACAAGCAAGCAGTTATAACCATTTTAAAACACTGCTGGTGGTCGTTAGGCTCCTAGTAACCCAGTAAGTGTAAAACATTGAGAGAGGTTGGGCAAATTTAAATGATGTTGTTATACTTTACCCCAATGAGCTGGGCTTAGTACTCCGCTTCTCGGCTGTATTTGGTTTAGTAGCTTGAAAAAGGTCAGAAGTACCCATAAAGGTTGTTGTATGGTCATGTTGCCCTGAGGAAGGGACCCTGCGTGGCTGATTAATACATGTGACTTTTTCTTCAATAAATCACTAAAATTCAATGTTATTCTGTGAGTGCTAGTTGTTGTAACACACAACTATGTTTGTGCTACATTCCTCCGGTGTCATTATCTATCTATCTATCTATCTATCTATCTATCTATCTATCTATCTATCTATCTATCTAGAGAAAGAGAATGTATGCATAAATACACATCTCTGTAATCTGCAGAAGGATTTTAAACTGGATAATGGGGATTCGTAAATATACTGATGGGGAAGTCATTGCTTTGGTAGCGGCCAATCTATTTAATTACACACTGACCTAATCCTTCACTACTCTTTTCTCTTGATAGCTGGCAGCCTTCTCACCTAATAGCCTATCAAGCAAAATGCACTGAAAGCTACTGCTTGACAGTTAGCCATTGATATCTCCAGTTTTAAGCTTGTGAGATAGTGATTGACAAGCTGACTGCACAAGCTGTGTAAATAAAATACAGGAATGGATAATATAAGGCATGAATTAATCATGTGACTCAATCTATGCACTGTATACTGTACAGCCTTGTACATGGTTGGCACAGTTTAAATATTGTAAATAAACAATGTTAAAATGCATAACTCTTTGCAGAGGCAGGAAATAGGGATCCAGGATTTTCTTCCATGCCTTGCCTGTTACATAGTTGGTTTAGTTAACATCCATCCATCATGGTCAGCTTTGTAAAAGAAAAAAATTATATGTTTGACACTTAACACCTCAGGTGACGCAGAAAATGTCAGTGTATGTGGCATTTTAAACCAAGAAAAACCAAGAAGCAGATTTCGCTTATGGTGAACTAAAGTCGCACATTAAAAAGTTAGAATTTACAGGGTTAGTGCGCTCAAAGCAAATATTTCTGTTTTTGGTAGATGTTAAAGAATTACGTCATATAACATTATGTTAAGTGATTAGATACTCTAGAACCCGTCCAAAGCTTGGTCCCCAGTTTCCAGATGTCTTCAACTCTAATTCACAGATGGAGTTGGGCTATGGATTGCCAGTGAGCCTGTTAATTACCCATCTTACATCTGTGGAGGATTCCTTGTGTGGAAAGTAGCAAGTCATTTCAATATATGATCAACACCTATTCCCATGGAAAAAATGTGTTTACAGTTTTTCTCTAGATGTCTGAATATCCGAGAAAGTGAAAACATTAGAGACCTCCTGGAACTAGTCTGTTTCTTAGTCACCTCTATCAGACCTGCTCACAGTCATTTTTATAGAGTTAAAATTATGTCTACGTGGCTCAGGTTTCTATGCTGATGATAAAACATTAGTATTATATCCCTTTTTTGTCAAGGTCTCTGCTCCCCAGGGTTATGCTAACATCATAAAAGATAATGCCGCCCAAACATTAGCAACAGCAGAGGGATAACGTCTACTGTCACCACATTGACATATTGCTCCCTTGACAAAGTTTTATTCTTCAATATCACACTGTAAGGGCCAGCATGGTGTGCATGTAAACTTAGCACAATCTCATGAGTGTTTAGTTTTGACTTTTTTAATACACTCAGACTGGATAATCATGGTAAAAAAAGATGTGGTACTTTCTGCTTTCTTTTTTCTGTTTTTGAAATAATTATCTGTTTATTTGAGGCTTAATACCTTTGACATACTCAGTTCTGGGTTCTAGACATGGACTAAACTAGGTTAATTGCCAGAACAAAACTTTCCTATTAGCGCTTCCCTGCCTATCAACCTTTATCTCAACCAAAGTGGCCATATTAGGATCCATGTTACTTTCTCCAAGTCCATACATAGTGAAAGAAACTAATTTCTGGGATTTCTCTGGTGCTGACTAAATAAGGATTATTATTAAAAAGTCCACGTTGCTTTAAGGAAATATAAACCTTGTTGATTGTTTAATTCACACACAGGGTTTTGTTAGAGGTGGAAAAAAATCTCAGTGCCAATAGCTGTTTTGTGGACCCTTACTGGGTGAACTCGAAGCAGAAGGTTATGTCACTCTGTTGACACTTTGTCATATCAGCAATTTCTAACCCTAAAACCCTGTATTTGACAAACACTTCTCTTAGAAAAAAACAAAAACATCTCTTGTGGCAATTAATTCCAACTGCATTAAAGGTAATCACAGCATTTGATCATTTTTTTCCCCTGAACTATCATCACACCGAGGACTTTATTGTAATCTTAGTTTTTTGGTGTTTTGGGTTTCTTTTTTGCATGATTACACATCACAGCTTCATGTAGATGGGAACATTCCCTCTGAATATAAAGCGTTGGATACAATATCTGTTTGATTTCTCATAATTCCTTGAGTAAAGGCTCGTCCCAGTATCACATTCAAATACACTGCCTGGCCAAAAAAAGTCTCTACCCGGATTTAGCTACACAAATAGGTAATAGCCTTGGATAAGTGTTATGATCTGGGGTTGTTTCAGTTGGTCAGGTCAAGGTTCAGTAACATTGTCCCCCAAAAATTAGGTCAGCTGCCTACCTAAATATACTGAATGACTGATGGCACGGACATATACCAAGATGATAATGCCCGGATTTGTCAGGCTGAAATTGTGAAAGAGTGGTTCAGGGAGCATGAGACATCATTTTCACAAATGGATTGGCCACCACACTCCAGACCTTGACCCCATTGAGAATCTTTGGGATGTACTGGAGAAGACTTTACACAGTGGTCTGACTCTCCTATTATCATTACAAGATCTTGGTGAAAAATGAATGCAACTCTGGAGGGAAATAAATGTTGTGACATTGCATAAGTTTATTGAAACAATTCCACGGTGAATTCATGCAGTAATCAAATCTAAAGGCGGTCCAAAGAAATATTAGAGTGTGTGACTTTTTTCCTGGCCAGGCAGTGTATTATTCTATAGCTTTGGTTCACGCATCATAGCACCAAACTTAGTGTTAGAAATATAGGGGGTTATTCATAAAGCTGCCGAAGGCAGCCGAGTGAATAACCCAGCTGAAGTGAGAACTCCGCCCAGCTATCATCTGCAGGCCTTATGGCGCGCTTCGGCTGTCACTTTGGCTCAGTTTAGCCGAAGCATATGCCTGTGGCTCGGCTGAGCCGCCCAGCCACCTTCGGCTGCTGTACAGGCTATTGTGAATAGCCCATGCAGCAGCTCTTCGTTTCACCTGAACCGAAGGGCTCTGGCGGCCGAAGAGAGCCCAAGGATTAGCCGAAGCTACAGCTGGATCCTTCTGCTCCTTCGTGAATAGCCACCATAGTCTGTGGACTGTCATGACATGTTTTGATAGTTAGACATTAGTAGACGAGACATTACCTTCAACCCAATTTATCAAAGGTCCAATCTGAGTATGGTTTCACTTGTATATATACACCACTTACATTCGTTAGAGCCTAGTTTACTTTACAAGGCCTCCAGCACTTTTTAAGATCAAGGCTTCACATGTTGTTACTAAATTGACTGCAAAACATAACTGGGATTATTCCTTTACTCAGAATGTTTGTTTAGCTACAGTAACATTGCATTGAACTGTGCAATTCCTACCAGGGTCATCGAAGGGCTTTTGCTTGCTGTTCTGGTTGAGTGGGAAAGTTATTGCCAGCTCTTTTGGCAGTTGCTTCTCCATCTTGGCTAGTGTTATTGTGTTTTTGCTTTGATGTGTCTGCTCTTCTTACCAAAGGACGTGTTACAACACGCTACTCCACTTTATGGCATTTCCAGCATGGTTTTCTTGCTGGGTAGGATTTCTCCTGGCAATTGCTTGACTACCAGGAGAACGTGGCAGACAGTAAAGATAGCATTTCTTTATCCTTCTTAGCAACAGTTGATCCAGCTATTGCTGCTTCATCAACTCACCTGCGTTCCCTTGACACATTCTTTCAAACAGTTTGTTATAGGCAGACATGTTCATCAGACTCTTTTTGTGGATTCTTTCACCTTCTTATGTTTCAAAGAAGGGATGAAAGAACCAAGAAAAGTTCGGTTTGCTGGACATTTGCTGAAGGAGGAAAGCAGGAAGTCCACAAACCCCAAATATAGGGCTTGAACTCCAATGAACTCTATTGGAGGTCAATCTTGTGATTTCTTTTCTAGCCTTTTTAAGGTCAATTTGCAAGTTGTTTTTTTTTGTTTTAAACATTTTTTGCACACTTTTTTTTTAAATTCCATTCAGCAGTTCTTGAAAGGCAACATTGAAAATACACAATTCTTTTAAATTACATGCTTAAGAGGTGCACACCCATGCAATGTTCTTCTTGGGGTACATAGACAATGTTAAATATAAAATATATGCACAGACACCATAGAAAAAAGTTGTTGTTTAAAAATGAATTAATAATGGCCCATGATGTAAACACATATCAATCACATTGTCGAACCATATATATTAATCGTCAATCACAATGACCCCATTAACTGACCAATCCTTTTTTGCTGCTACTCCCGTTGCAAATGTCAGTTCCCAGCCACTGCTGGAATGTTAACACAGCATTGAGGAACCTGGATAATGTAATTAACCAGATATGGTCATGACTATATTTGATCAGTGACGTTACTTTGATTCTCTTAGATTGCAAGCTCTTTCGAGCAGGGCACCCCTAACCCTCCTGAATTGAATTGTATTGTAACTATAGTGTCTTACTTTATTTTGTAAAGCACTATGCAAACTGTTGGTGCTATATAAATCCTGTATAATAATAATCATCCCCACAAGCGTGTTTACAATGAGAAACAAGGCAGCGGACAGGAAACT